TTCCGTCAACCTTATGTTCTATTTGAACCCTAATTGGACCCATTGTGACAGGTACACTCATTTACAAATCACTTTGATCTTCAAGAGAGACTCAACTGAATTTCTCGTTTATGATATTCTAGAAGAGGGGACTGCGAGGCGAGGAGAGGAGAGGAGGCTGCGAGGAGACTGCCACACGGTTCATTTGCTAATATATTCGACGTACCGCAGTATATTTTCCCAAGGGGCACTATTCTCAAGGTTGTCAAAGAGGGCGTAGTTTCCTTTATGAAAACATTCGGCATGCGGCTCAGCAACAAAACTTGAGTAAAATATTTTCGAGGAAATGTTGAGACGTGTAGGTGAGTAAGTCGCCTCCATTTAGTGCAGTAATGTACCTACCAGATTGACGTGAAATTTTACATTTTCTGCCCTAAACTATGGGTAAATGTTATGTTTAGTCAAGCTGTGCTTTTTTTGTAAGACGGCCTATCGTTTGATCCCACCTTAAAAACAAAAGTCATACACCCGAACACTATTGGCATGCATCATTCCGATGGCGCATAACCGAATAACGAGAAAGCCTTGTTTCTCCGAAGGTATCATACTGGCGAGTGGGTACACAGTTTGATCCTATCTTCAAGGTTCAAAACATGAGCATGAATGACCGCCAGGCTCATGTCCGTCAAACCCGAAATTCGATCCCAAGAAATGGTTCCAAACTCACCCACCCACCTTATGCAATAATTCAGAATTATTGGGTTAAACCAAGTTACTTGTTGCTGGGATACACAGATTCATAGGAGGTATGGTTGAAGTATCAGGTGACATTGTGCCAGTCACTTGACGGAAAACAGCCTTTGAAGGAGCACTTAAAACCTTATCTTTAGATTGGTTATTATGCTACTCTGGCTCCATATCGATCGCGCTAAACGGACGTGACCTTCACCTGAAAGTACCGCTTAAGCTATCTAAGTAGAGCTCATGGCACTGTATAGTGCACTTGTTTCTGAATAAACCTTGTCAATTATTGATTCTAGGCACTTCAAGATGTGAATGCCGCCATTCGAAACAGCGGTCACCCTTTCGCAAGTTTAACACATTTTGACTTAGAAAACTCAGGTTCAGACCTCTTTAAATATTCTTATTGGGCAAACGCTGAGAGTCTGACTGTCCTGGTTCTTTGCACCAGAGCACTTGAGTTTCTTTGCAATCTTGTATTGATCTGATTGATGAGGACGCTCTGAGGCCATGTTGACTTTTCTCCTGCAACTAACACTTGCTTCGCTCTCCCATCTGTTTTTTTTCATCGGGAAAAGGTATCTAATATATCCAGTTGTCTACAAACTCTTCGAAGACTCGGTGTAGATTTGGACGAAGTCACGGCAGAAGGTAAGCTCATTCCAGATCGGGATCATCTGATTGAATAGTAGTCTGTAAACTCCGCATTACTGATTGTATGGTCCATAAATAGAGAGAGAGAGAGAGACAATGTTTCCGAAGTAGGAGTCACACGTGGAGGCTCTAACATTAATACCAGTAATTTGATGTGCCAGGCACATTCTTTCCTCTTTTTTTAAGAAAAAGGTGAATTTCGACTTGATATTCGATGTAGGCCGAACACGTCTGATAAGCACACAGTAGCCTAGTTTGGCTCACTTCTGCGTTGAGCATCCATCAATGGCATTACACTTCGCTCTATTATGTCAGGAAGAGAAACGTAATCGAGAATATTATCCCTCCATATCGATGACCATCACCTATCAGGCCTCCAGCAACAGAAACGGAAGATAACTTCATAGCGTTTGGACAGATTCACCAGTTACTTCTAGCCATTAGCTGTAGCAATCGAATTGTGATATGCAACTACAATTCGAATCGTTTCAAGACTCCGGGCATAAAAATTGTGTCCGGGCCCAGTAGGGTCAACAAGTCACCACCGTTCCCCTTTTGCATTCCGACCGTCAATAAAGGTGACGCCACTTCTCATGTGTGTTCAGGCGCATCAAATTATAGATCAAACTGAGGTAGAGGAGATGTGACGATGTGCTTCATCAGATGCACACTGCTGGGTGTTCTCAATAAGGCGCTCCGTGAAATCCCATACATAGCCCAATCGATGAGTGCTGTAATAAGTCAGTAGAACAGAACTCAAGCTGTGGGAAAGGGGATATTTCTCCAATCGGTTCCTAGTAGAACAAAAGCTTGAGAGAAACTCTGGAGCTGCACGTGCCTGATGAGCCTCAAGACAGGCGGAAGCGTCCCACGGTCGTCACCCACGCCTTTCTGCAAACTTATTGGTAGCGTATTCCGTCCAGGATCAGTTTGCTGAATAGTTATATCTTCGGAGATTGTGCGCCAGAGTACAACCTGAAGGAAGTTAATTTTGACGTAATACACTTCTCAAAAGCTGCTGAAGACTCTTCAACGACCCACGATCGGTTTCGCCCTTCTTGGGACGAGTTTCCGTCAACCTTATATTCTACTTGAACCCAAATTGCAAGAAGTTTAACTTATACTCTCATCTGCATTCGAAGTTGTCTTCGACGGGGGAATCACCCGGAACCAAGCTGAATCTCTCTTCCACGATGTTCATAAACTATATTCATCATAGACGAGATATCCAGCTGGCTCTCGTGTGAGTCTTCCGAGAAAACCAAATTTGTTTGGAAATGAGTATAAAGGTTTAAGCCAGTTTTTATTCAAGGCTAATGAACCATCTTGTAATTCATGTGATTAGAAGGAATTTTCTTCACCCAGTCAGTCTTTATTCTCACCCCCTGTGCCAGATTATATTTCATCAGTAGGACGAAAGTGTCAGGTTAACAAATGTGTCGTTCTCAAGTGGATTCTTCTTTCCCTTTACCTGGATCTGAGAAAAAGGGCAGTAACAAATTTCCCATCAAACAAAAAAATACAGGTTGATCACGCCACTCTTTATGGAGAAATCCAAACACCTCACATGAGGGTGCCAGTAAATTTAGTCGATCAATGGCGGTAGCATTCGATGATGTATCCACTTTCTAGTTCCATATGATCTTACAAGTTGACCAACTTAAAGTCAAGGCATGCGGAAACCAGTGAATATCTTTGTTTTCATTTGTAATGTACCACCCATAAGGTTGCTGAAAACCCATCGACAGCCCACGAGCCCTTCTTGGGGCTCATCAGATAGGCGCAGTCCCTTGGTTTCCGTCAACCTTATGTTCTACTTGAACCTAAATTGGACTGTTTTCGAGAAATAAACCAATTTGCAAATCAGTTTGGTTTTCACGAGAGGCTCAGAAGAACGGCTTTTTATGTGAGCTTTCCCTGTATCTTGTTGTGCTTATACAGCTGACTATGATTTGTACTTTTAGATTCTTGCACTTTTCCACTTTTGACAGCGGGTGTGCTTTGTTTTCATTCACTCGATCAACCCTACTGGGCCGAGTAAATTTGACACATTCAAGCATTTGTTGATTTGCTCCGTGAACCTCTTGGGAAATCACCGTAAGAAACGGCGTTTAGTAAACAATTTTACCTTTTGTCAAACGCGGTTGCTTTTAGAGTGTTCCGGTTGCCAAGGTAATTTGAATATGATGACACTCATGCAGGAGCAATCCGCTCGTTGCCAGAGCAAGACAACAATTTCTGGAAATTAAAAACAAATGGCTAAATCTAGTCATCTAGTCAACAAAGCCGTTCGTTCTATCGTCAGCAAGGGAGACACTCTCTGTTATATCTGCTGATTTGCCAATCTCTGGTATCTGCTGCTAACCCGCTCCAGTGCCTAGTGTTGGAAAAAGAAGACTCACAGAAGGGAACACAACACCTACACTCCAAACAAGCGAGTGCGAGAGCGAGAGCAAAAGTTACAACGGCCCCACGCTATTTAAAGGGGACTTTCTGACATTGATCCAGGCTGTCTGATAGGCGTTAGTGAACACCCGTCAACATCGATCGTGCCTCTATGGGATGCCTGAACACAGATCACATTCGGTCGTACTTCTGTGGTGTGCATGAGATCTCATCAGCTTTTGCTGAATTAATTGAATGATTGACTGGCCTGGATGCTTGCCGGCTTTCCTGCTGGGGTTTTGGTGGAGCAGTAGATTTCGGGCGTTCTTAGGTTACTTTCAGGAATCTGACGTTCCTGATACTCGAATCCAGTAACTCTGAGTCCGAACAAACGAGTCAGCGACTGCTGAAATCGTTTCCTAAAAGCCACCACGTTCCGTCTAGCAGGCTATCACTGGATAAAAATACTACTGAGACGATCAGATATTGACTTAATCTGAAATAAATGAACTTTTTAAAGGACAGTTTGATCACTGCTATTCAAAAATCTACAGAGCTTTTGTGCTTCGTCTGTGATCCTCAAACTAACGCCAACATCTTCATGTTTCTTATTGCAATATTGACATATATCCAGTAATTTTATAGAGCTCACTGATGACCTGAGTGCTGATCTTCATTGCCAGAGGAACTCAACCTAAGCATGTCATAATTTAATCCTTTTTAACAAGAAATTGCTCTTGTTCTTTAGCTGCTCAGGGCACTGTGACCGAAGTTCGTCCCGATCTGAGAACGAATCAGCTGTCAGCATGTATATGCCTCAAATTCCCAGATAAAATATTCTAAAAACAATCTGTTTAAACTGACAATTACCTTTGAACATTAGATTTTTCAAGGCAGCCTTAACTGTCTGACTCTTGAACAGTGAATTCGGTTGGTAATATCGAAAACCTGGTACCCACGCTCATTTTGGGGGCACCAAGCAAGCTCTTGTTTCCAAAAGGTTTATTGGGGCATTTCATTGGGAATGCAATGCTCCCATAGATTTGTTAGATCTAGAATATTCCATCGTTTCCTCTCTCAAAAGTTTGAATTCCCAGGCAATATCGATTCAGATTGGCTGACCACTCGTTCTTCTATGTTTACCTATATCTGTTCCAGGAGTCTTCCAAGGGAACCTAAAACACATACTGAACCTGTTCTTCCACCTGTCCAAATTCAAGGAAAGACTAAAAAATCGGCAGGTGCCAGATGGAAGGTCCACTCCGGAAACTGCTGAGGTTAACTTGCAGTTGGGTGCCAGTGGAGAGGAATCTGCTGCCCAAAAAGTGAACGGATGCCCGATCGGTATTGCGAGCCACGTCACGCCCCTGTCGTGGAATGCTGTTGGGTGCGGAGGCAGGCAGGGTTCACCTGTGAACATGGTTAGACCTGCTTGTTCTAGTCAACTGCCGAAATTGACCAAACCTACGCATACTGCGCTTTCAGAGTCACCTCATTCAGTGATCCATTTGAAAGCAAGTTCTGCACAGCACCCTTCCGTGGTCAATTCTGGAGCAGCTGGCTCACGGTAAGTTCATGCAAGTAGTCCTTGATGTAGAAATGCGCTGTAGAAGATAACATTTTAATGACACAACTGAGCCCAAACGATGACCAAAGTGAAACGAACTCATTTGCATACCAACTGGGTTTTCACGACACACCCGAATGAACCTTTCGTTTACCATGCTCTTCTCTAGCTTAACTGGCTGCATCAAGTTGAAGGAAACTCGGGGAAATGCGCCTGCCTGATGAGGTCGAAGAAGGGTGAAACGGATCGACGAAGAATTTTCAGCAACCCTATTAGCAGTATGTTACGTCTACACAGGAAGCTGCTTGTTTTGTGCACATGAGTGTCTTTTGAACCCCAACGGATTACCTTAGCAACTTTTCCCCAGCTGTTTCAGATGATGGGATGCTGGTTAGGTAAATATTAAAAAATACTGACAAGTACAGATCACGCCAGTTTAAATTTTGCGTGCCAAACTGCATGAAGGTCGAGTTGTTGGGGACCGGTCTTAATGGACCATATCCAGGTGCTTACCTGACTTACTAGTTGGTTGAACCATTAGGCTTAAACCGATGGTAACAATTACGGCAGTGAAGCATCGGTGTTGAACACTGTTGTCCTGCTGTCGATGGTGATGATGACGATGATGATGATGATGACGATGATGGTGAAGATGACGATGATGATGATGATGACGATGATGATGATGATGATGATGATGATGATGATGATGATGATGATGATGATGATGATGATGATGATGATGATGATGATGATGATGATGGTAACAGTCAAAGTTAGGCCAGCCCGTTCGCACGCAACGTCTCTCCAAATCGTTTTTAACTCATCAGGAATGCTGTCACGGCGTCGCCCGACAGAAGGGACACTCCACATTCATTACAGGGAATGCATTGTGGACCACATTCGTCGAATGCCTAAAGTCTGAGAATATTCTCAACTCACAAGGGTCCTGTTCCATAGCCATATAGTGGTAGTGGGAACAGTGTGAAACTTCCTCGAATATGGCTTCTCTCGGACGCATTAAGCCCTTTCTAACATTTGTTTCGCTTGGCGCTTAGCAATGATGGATAGCCAACTTGAAGGTTCATCTCCTCGTTGAGCGGAAGTGTGTAAGTACTCTATCTCGCTAATGTGATTCAGGTGTATCTGTGACCCCTATATCTCACTGGTTTGGTGAAAAACTGTAACCGAGACAGCACAACTTATATGGACAGCAGGCTAGCTGATCAAACATAATTTTCTACCATCGAACCAAATAATAGTTTGAAAAAGGCTGGAGATAGTCAACAGCTTTGCCTCACCCCGGAAGACATCAAGAACGTGGTCTGCTTATCTGTCTAACCTGAATAGTGACTTTTTTACCTGATTCGTCGGTCAGGGTTAGAATTTGAAGATAATAAGGTTTGCAACTGTTCCTCTGAAACGGATAAGCTGATTCCGTGGACTTAATCATAACTCTAATTCACAAGACTGTTCTGAAAATCGATGCGGTGATTGATTGCCGGATTTGAACACTCCCAGGAACAAAGCCATTCCGTTTGATCTTTCCTATGGACCCCTTGGATTATCCGGACCAGGCATTTGCGATCACGCCGATAAAGCTGCTTTCGCGACACTTTCAACAAATCGCACTGTCGAGGTATTTCAATTTCTGGGGGCCGAGGATTTACCGCACATCGACCTGAACAGAAAATCCAGCCTACCTGAAGTTCATGTTGGATGATCAGTTCATCTAGCCAGTTCTTCCTCACGACTTTTTATTTGCATTACGAACGCAGGGACCCTGAGCTTGGTGAACGGAAGGCAGCAGTGAACGAGCAGTCTTTTTATTGCACGATATTTCTAACCAGGGAATGGCTTCCAGTCTATCAAAACTTTGAATCTGACTGGGTTATACATGTGCGTCTGATCGGTTAACTCGTACAATCTTGCGGTTGCGTCGGACGCGGTATTTGCAACGGTACGCTGCGTTGTCAAACTTGGTCGCTCCAGTCTGTTATATCTCGCTGAGTTAAGACTGTACAGCACTTTGCCTGCCATTGGTAGATACACGAGAAAGTTTGGTCTGGTTAAAATCAAAGGTAAGTCCTCACTAGGGGAATCAAAAGGTGCCCAGGACCAACCAATATAATTTTATGAAGAAAGAAGACAAAGGTATTACCTGTGTGACGATGATACTACTGATCGGGAGGCACGTGAGTAGTATGTGTTGTTCGTAGAATTTCGCTTTGCGTCGATTGAAAAATGGAATTGTGTTGCGGGGCCACTTTGTAACATTTGCTTTTATTCGACCGACGAATGAATGGAGGCAATGAATCTCCAGGAAGACTCGTTCAGGAGAAGATCTGCGTCCAGGTTTTGTAACTAAGATGCAGATTAGAGTTTTGCTTCCTTGCTCAATGGTCTGTAACCGGTCAGTTGGCATTTCCGAATAAATAACTCCGAAGCGAAGGCCTTCTTCCTTTCACCTGTATTATCAGAAATAGTATTTTCTTCATGGCCTCGCCTCACTGGAGATCACTGATGAAGACACGCAACTTCGGACGGTGGACGACCAGTTAATTGGTGTTAGTGCTCTAGTTGTGACGTAATTAAGCACTAACGAACGAATGTCTGTCTTACTAGAATGTGATGAATACAATAGTTCGGTGCGTGCACTTGATAAAAATAAATACAATGCGAGAAGTGGAATAAGCCAAAAAGTGACTTGTCGTTTGAGGACACTTGTTTAGAGTTCCGGGACGCGGGATGTGTCCTCTCTACAGTATAGCTGCTACACGTGTGCCGTAGTTGCCCGTGGAGACTGGCGGAGCTCTGTTGACTTCCTGTCCTGTGCGCGCGAGTTGTGTGTGTTGAGCCTAGTTGTGTGCATTGTGAAGAGAGGGGTGTCCATTCGTGTTTGATGCTTGCGCGAACATGATGTGTGGAAGTTCATAAGCCTGGCGCGTAAACAAAAATGGATGAGAATTTTTAGTGTACACGTTGTCGGCTAAGGTTGCAAGTGGAACAGGAATTATCACGTGGTTAGAGTGTTTGTGACGCGTGATCTGATGAGTGACCTCTGGAAGGTTCAAGCAAATGTCCTGTCGAAACAGTTCGTGACTGCAGTCGTACTTCATGTGCCTGAGCAAAGCTTGCGACTTGCTCGCAGAGACTCATGATTTGATCTGCATTGTTCTCAGTTTCAGCATTTTATCAAGGATGCCAGTCAAGCTAATGTCTGTCTATTGTCTGTCCAGATAACAATAAGACAATGGTTAGAATACAAGTGGTTAATTAGGTGCCGTTTCCGATTGCGGAAGCGTGTAGTGACGTCGACCAGTTGTTTGATTCTTCAGAGTCCACCTTTCTGTGACGTCGTTCCAAGGTGCAAGGTACTGAATTGTCTACAGCGTCAGTTCATGCATTCTAATCCCCGGCAAACAAATGAGTCTAAAGCTGGAAGAGCGACTGGTTCGATAACACTGAGGTCTGACTGGAGCAGACGAGTGTTACGGCGAGATTCATTTGGGATCATCTGAAATAGGTCTTTTCGAGTCGGCTCCAAACCGTTCGTAGTGCTGAGACATACTGAGGGCAAATACAGCACACAGGCGGTCACTTGTGCCAACGCAGTACAGTCTTGTCTTGGATACACGATTATTTGACACTCCAAATTCCAACGTTGAGACTGGCACAGACAGCTCACTTTGCAAGCACAACTACCAACGTATCGCTCCCTAAAAACGCATTGATGACGTCACCTCGATTGATGATGATTTTTAAACAGCCCAACTCCGCGAGCAAGCCAACGATCATTTACGCTACCTGAGCCACCCTCAGTAGAAAATAATAGGAAACTTTTGAGAACCGTAATTGATGCATGTAGGGGTTTTGTGGGAGGTGTATTGTTCAGATTCACATCACTCTTGTTTTGAACAGTCGTCTTCCTGTCCTGGCGCAATTACTCATGTGAATCCATACCAAAAGGTTCGGGGAAGCACTAGACTCGAGTTCCGCTCTTGTTAGAGCTCATCAGCAGTGCATTTCCAATGGCCGTGCCGGGATTTGAACTCAGGACATCCGAAATGCGAGGCGAGCGTGTAACCACTACTGCATCAACGCACGTTGGACGCATCTGAATTATCACGTTTGAACAATAGGCGTACGAGTTCCTGATTGAGCGATATGACTGGTGTGCCCGACTCATCGAACGAGTCAGGACTTCCTATTCACAGATGCTTGAAACCCGCCGGAAAACTTTTGTTGATGCATGCTGTGGGGGGTTTGCGGGAGGTGTATTGTTCAGATTCACATCACTCTCGTTTTGAACAGTCGTCCTCCTGTCCTGGCGCAATTATTTATGTGAATCCAAACCGAAGGGGGGAACCATAATTGTCGTGTAAGACCACGTGCTATCTCGAGCGCTACTTGGCTGCTGTCCGCGGAGTCAACTGTAAGTTTTGCGCAACCTAGTGCAACGCACAACGCACAAAGGAATTCACGAAGGATGGATGAGAAGCCCCTTCCCTATAACCGTCAGATTTTTACGGTAGTCTCATCTGCCAAGTTAACTGTGAATGATTCATGATCCAACACTCTTGTTCTGAGGGGTACAAGATGGTTAGAGCTCAGATTTACTGACCGGAAGGTACTGCCCTCTGCTCATCTGCCAAGTTAACTGTGAATGATTCATGATCCAACACTCTTGTTCTGAGGGGTACAAGATGGTTAGAGCTGAGCTCAGATGACCGGAAGGCACTGCCCTCTGCATCGCGAGTTCCTCTGTCTAAGTTCTCGTTTCCCAGTAGTCACTCATAGCTGACCATTCCAGGTCCAGCTGATGCAATCAGATCGCCAGTGGTCATTGATGCTACTAGTGTCAATGAACGAACTCTCCTCACTAAATGTACCCCAATTTTATAAATCTGCAGACCTCCCGGGTTACCTGTTTCAGATTCGATTGTCAATCCGAATTAGTCTTTGACGTATTCGGACGTTTAACTTGCTAGTCGGCCTATCAGATCTGCATGTCCAATTTCTGGGTCAGCTGTTATCTCCTGATCGCTTTCGAGCATCATCAATTACTCGTGTTAGCCACAAAAATCCGTGCACAAGCCAGAAATGGGATAGTTCATCATCATTTTTGAGTAAGTGGGTCAAGAGAAATGGTTTAGTCAGAACCTGAATACAGATGGAAAGAGTTGGGTAGTGCTCAAACCCTGGATTTAAACGCTTGATCAAACTTTGTCCCCGTGTAGTCGAAATTTCAAGTATCGTTGAAGTCCGTTGTGAACAAGTATGCTGACTACTGGGTTCAATAAGCTTCAGAGCTACCGCAGTATATTTTCATAAAGGAAACTACTCACAAGATTGCTGAAAACTCTTTGAAAGCACACGACCGGTTTCGCCCTTCTTCAGGCTCGTCATCAGGTAGGCGCAGTCCCCGAGTTTCCCGTCAACCTTTGATATACTTGAACCCAAATTGGACTGTTTTCGAGAAATACACTCAGAGCTGTTTTAGATGGGCACAGAACTGGGAAAAGGCGCGTAAAAGTGCGACTGTCTTTGAATTATTCATATCCGACAGACAGTGTTGAATGCCAAGTGGTGCAAAAAAGACCCTAAAAAATACGTGAGTATGTGGATCGCCAATCAGACATGGACCACAAACAGCGAAGATCAACCAGCCCAGCGGCACTTTCATGGTCCACAATTTTGTTGTCTTGTGATGTCCCATTCGTCAGCCTGGTGATAGGTAGACACAAGACGTTGATCTAAATGTCATAGAATCGCTTAATTAGGACAAAATAACCTGTCTGGCTATTTGCAATTATATATAGTTTGCAGCTCTGAAGGACCGGCCGTCTAAAACCTTTGTTTAGTGATTCACACTTCATATTGATTTAAGATCTGACTACAATGAAACGTAGCCATCCGAACGTTTGTCCGTGCTTGTCGGAGGGAGGTGAGTCACGTTTTAAAAATTTTGGCCAAGTTCTTATGTGCAGTGAACGATGACTTACGAAATGTTGATCACACACACACACACACAGAAAATTTCGCTTCGTCGTAAAGTGGTTCATTTGTCCGGCGGTGTCGTTGACCTGTTTTCCAATGGTTACTCGGCGTTTGGACTGAGAGAGGGACCCCATACTCCAGTTCGCAAATGAGCTTCAGTCACCAGGAAACATCTGAAAAGGTACAGCTCGAAAAGGATCATATTTGTAATGAAGAGCGATATATTTCGATTTAACTACTCCTAGGGGATGTTACTTCCTGGATTACCCCTTCAAAAGAAAATCAAACATTCCCCGGTGATGAAACATGCGCCCGACTGACTGAACAATGCTCACGTAGATAATATCATCTATCTCGAGGAGAAAACTTCATGAGTCATAAAAGAAGAGTTCTCAGTTTGAAAGCCTTGTGTTTTAAAAAGAAATGCGATGGCATTTGAATTAGACTGACAATCTAAATAATTCTGCCTCGCGGTTTGGTATGCGCTTCACACCTGCAAAGTGTAAGGTGCTACTGCAAGA